CTGTTAAACACGACAGAAACAATTTGAGAATTTTTTTTTTTTTGTACTTTGTTATAATTATTATTATAAGTAAAAAAAAAATATATATATATATTATTATTATTGTTGTATGTTTTGTTTCTGACATGTTCAATAAATTAACAAAAATAAATAAAGTCAAGTAAATTTTTTTTTTTTAATTTAATGCATCAATCCAGTATTATGTTCATTTGTAAGGCACTCATTTGTAAGTGCTTTATAAGTACTTGAGGCATTTTCAATTGTTTTATTATTTTGGCTAAATTTGTTTCAGTTATTTGTGTATAATTTTTCCTGACGTATTCCTTATGTACTCAATAACTAACACAATCTAGAAAGATACTATATATCTCTGAATGGGACTGGGTAATACTTTACACACACTACTTTCACAACTTGTGATGCATTTTTTCAAATATGGTGCCAAAGTCTGTGTTTTATCCCTGTATAAAACTGCAAGGACAAGTGAAACCAAGGCTCTGAGATAAGAAGACACATTTCTCTCAAGGGTTTTTATTGCAGGATCTTTCTTATCAGGATAATGTTAAAAAGCCATAAGCTAAACCGTCATTGACGCTTGTTGGTGTACATGCCAGTGTGCCACAATGTATTATAAGAGGCTGAGGGGGGAAAACAATTATAATATATATCTTATTTATTATTCCAATACAAAAGTGTAGTTTTATCAGAATCAAGAACACAATGTCCATTGATAAAACACTGCATGCTTACTGAGGGCTACAACCACAAGGTGGTGCTACTGTAAGTGGTAAATTAACCAAATTATGCTTTATGTCAGGGGTGTCAAACTCAAGGCCCTCATTTTATGTGGCCCGCAAGAGCTTGCAAAGAATATAATATACAATACAATTGGTGTAGTTGTTGGATATTTGCTTTCAATTATTTGACCTATAGACTTCTGCTTTCAGACGTAGTTAATTATGAAGTTATTACCAGAACTGTTAATAATCCAATGCAGAGTGGCCCGCAATGAAATTGAGTTTGACACCCCTGCTTTATGTGAAAGAAACCTCTGCACAGTTTGAAAGGGTTTATAACTGTACCTTGATGTAAAGTAGTAGATCTTCGATACCATGACATTTAATATTAAATGAAAAAACTGTGAATTTATCTTTGCTGATATGACTTGTTAGCTCTTATGACTACAATATCTACTAGAGACGTCACAAAGGAAACTCTACATACAGTAAAGGAACCAGGGCAACAATTTCACAATGTTTCAAAGCCCGAAAACAATAAGCCACAAAACGTTCTTGTATCATTAGCAGACATCTGGAAGTGGAAGTAGCAAACGTTTGGCCTCCAGGGGCCCGTTTCCCTTTAACAAGCTGGGAATAAAGGACTTGTTTTGGGAGACGAGAGTCAGGCATGCGGATAACATGGGCAGTCCATCTGAGCTGGTTTTGGGCAATGGTGGCAGTGATGGTGGGAATGTCAGCCTCCTCCAGGACGCTGGTGTTAGTGCGCCGATCCTCCCAGCTAATCCTGAGGATTTTTCGGAGGGATCTCTGATGGTATGCCTCAAGTGCCTTTAAGTGCCTGCTGTATGTGGTCCAGGCTTCTGATCCATACAGAAGAGTGAGGAGCACCACAGCTTTATAGACCAATATTTTGGTCTTTGCTTGGAGGTCATGGTTCTCAAAGACTCTCTTCCTTAGCCTTGAGAAAGCCTCACTGACACAGCTGAGGCGATGGTGTATTTCATCATCAATAACACCTTTTGATGATAGGAGGCTACCAAGGTATGGGAAGTAGTCCACATTTTCCAGTCTGATGTTGTCAATGGAGATGTTTGGGGGTAGGACAGGCGTACTGCTGTTTGGTGGTGGTTGGTGGAGGATTTTAGTCTTTTTTATGTTGATGGCTAGACCAAGCTGTTTGTATGCTTTCGCAAAGGCTGATAGGATACCCTGTAGGTCCTCTTCCGAGAGGGCTACAAGGGCGTTGTCGTCCGCATACTGCAGCTCCATGATCGATATGGTGGTGGTTTGACCTTTAGCCCTGAAACGGTTGATGTTGAGGAGTTGGCCGTCAGTTCTGTACATGATGTTGACTCCCTGGGGCAGATGCTTGCTTGTGAGATGTAGGATAGCAGCAACAAAGATGGAGAATAGCGTTGGAGCGATGACACATCCCTGTTTGACTCCTGTGTCGACCTGGAAGGGTTCAGTTTCGTCTCCACTGCCACTGAGTACCGTGGCTGACATATTGTCATGCAGCAGTCTCAGTACCCGGACGTATTTTTCTGGGCAGCCAATCTTTGCCAGTACCAGCCAGAGGGCCTGACGGTTCACTGAGTCGAAGGCTTTGGTGAGGTCTATAAATGCCATGTATAATGTTTGATTTTGTTCCCGGCATTTTTCTTGCAGTTGGCGAGTAGTGAAAATCATGTCTGTAGTGCCTTAACATTTAACATTAGTTAAAATGTCAGTAAACATGTTGGATCCATAGAGATTAAAAAGAGCAGTCAATGATAAATAAATAACTATATCTTAAAGTCAAAACAATAACGACCAACAAAAGCCCACAAATGTTAATATTTGCTGTTGGTTCAGTTTGGTATTATAATAAATTGAGTATCTTTCCACTTTAGTTGAAAACAAAACATTTAAAGGCAATACCTTGGATATGAGGAGATAAATTGCAAATAGAAGGTGCTTTTCCCACTATATTCATACAATGTGAGTCACAAATGATTCATTAAGAAAATATGCTGAAATAAGCTGTTAATATATAATGAAATAAACGATAAGCGTGCATGACCAACTGCTATTTTATCTGCTTCCTTATCTCACTGCTCATATACTGTAGAAAGCAAAAGCATGCTTGTGTTAGATCCGTGTCCAACTGAGTGGTAAAAGACTAGAAAAGATCTTGAGATAAAATGTTTACACCATGAAGAGATATGTTAGCAGCTCGAGCCTCTATGTTGCTTACATCTATTTTCTTCCCTTAAAAGCCTGATGTGATGAGACAGTGTGCAGCCGGTTAACCCATAAACAACACCAGGATACTTTCAGTACACACTGCACTTCCTGCAGCACAATATGGTGATTTATATAAGTAATTGTATACTAATGACATTGTTCATGTATAGTTAATGAGAAGCACCGCACCAAATTACAGTTGTAACTCAACCAATAAAACCTTTTGCCTTCTACCAGAATCCGTTTTTATTTAAGTTTTGTATTTGTGAAAATGTACACACCACACACACACACACACACCACACCACACACACACACACACACACCACACACACACCACACACACACACACACACACACACACACACACACACACACACACACACCCACACACACACACACACACCCACACACACACACACACACACACACACACCACACACACACCACCACACACACACACACACACACACACACACACACCTACACACAACCACACACACACACACACACACAACACACACACCACACACACACACACACACACACACACACACACACACACACACCACACACACACACACACACACACCACACACACACACACCCACACACACACACACACACACACACACACACACACACACGGCAAAAAAGCTGATGGTGTTAGTTTCAGAAGAGGACACTGCTGGTTAAAAATGCAAATATGCAGCCAGAGCAGCTAAACCATTGACACTTGAAAAATGTACATCAGCTGTTAGATTTAGTGGATTGTGGATGTTAAATATTGTGGGTTTTTTATTTTTATATTGGCTTTATACCCCTTATTGTTCTATATTCCCATGCAATGCATTAGTAAAGTTAAACATGAATACTTTATTGAAACCAAAACTGTAAAAAAGTATTATGAGTAAATCCTCCCTTTTGACACAAACTGGGCTTTCAGATTTGAATGTGTTGACTGAAGATCAACATTTTTTAAACATTGTTATATCAGCAATTTTATGGTAGAGCCAATGTCGTACTTAGGCTGTTACAAGTACAAACATGTTAGCATCAAAATACACAGAATTGTCCATTTCAGCATAATCTTATTTGGCCAAGTGTGTGGCCAAATTTGACAAATTTGACTGTATTTATTATTGCTTTCAAAGTACTTAGATAAAAAAGTGACAGCTGAAACAAGGTATTCAAAGCTGAACAAATTAGGTGAACAGAAGAACAGACATATTTAAACATGTATTCAAGTGAAAGTATTATATAAGGTGAAAACCATACAAATAAATACTTAATGCATACAAATGGACTGGAAGAATATTGTTCTTTTTCATCGGGCCTATAGTCTTGACTCTAGTGAAAACACAGTCAAGAAAACTTGATGTACAGTATGTGCATGTATAGATGTCTTTATAACCTACAGCATACGTGATTATAATTGGATTGACGTGTAGTAAATATATAATTTCTTTGCTATAACTGGCATCGAGTTCTACACATGAATCATAATTATTATAATGTAACATGATGACATTATGCAATGTATATTATTTACTATGTTTATATATGTGTAGGTCTATTTCAGCTTGTTCTACCTTTATTGACGTTTCTAATAGATGTATATCTTTCTACTGTTTCTATGTATATAATCACTGTATATGTTTTCATATTTGTTATAATATGAATGTATGTGCAATGCCTAATTATGCTACTATAACAAAACAATTTCTCACTTTTGGACCATTCAATTAAATCTGATCTAATGACAGTTACTTTTTGCAGCCTATACTTTACATACATACACTTTACGTTTAATTCTTGTTGACAGAATTAATTAACTCGACTTTAAAGCTCTCATCACATGGTTGCAAAGCTGCTGCCATAAAGGGCCGTTAATCCGTCCACCTGCAGAATACAAACATGTGTTGATCAAAAACACCGTGAACTTGCAGCTTCATCTTCAACAGACTCCGGTTTTCTAGGTGGCGGCTTTTTTTTTTTATTGCTGTTTGATAAACGAAGGCGTGTCCAGGAGTCATGCATATAATAGCCAGACGAGCTGCTGCAGGCTTCAGCTCTCTATGCTCCAGCAGACTCTCCGGCAGCAGGCTCTGTACGATGGCCCAATGTCAGGAAGTGGTATTCAACAAGCCAAAGGTACGTTATCAGCAGATGGAACAACAGTGACAGCATTAATGGTTAACATGTATAGGTATTTTGTATATAAGGGCGTACATTTTCCTGGTTTTACGCACGTTTTGACTGCCGTAATCTCTGTTTGGGTGCTCATGAACAAAACAATGACAAGAAAATGCTTTGAAACGTAAACAAAAACTAATTTGAGATTTTAAAAAAATACATTGGGCCATATAGAGCTTTCTGTTTGTGGTTTATTCCTCATTATAAAACACGGAAGCTTGCAGTTTGACATGTGACTACCCGGCTTTACACGCAACACACAGACACTGTGATGAACGAAAAACGCTTTTATTAGTGTTTTTCTTTTAATTGTGCAAGTAGACACACCTTTATCATTTTTGGTCTATATATATATATATATATATAATGTTTGCCATGGAGCAAATAAATAAGGCTGATTTTGTGAACTTGGATCCTTGTCTTCTGCATTAGCGTAATACAAGCTTGTGGGAATTCCTTTTAATTCAGGAGAGCTTATTCACACTGCAATACAAACACATACAGAAAAACATTATTACTGCATTATCTTTGCTTGAATTCTTTATGGTAGTTATTTTATTGGCTGGTATAGAGACAACTGGCTGTCATAACAATGCCTTGAAGTGAAATGCCCCTTTAGTTTACAGCTAGTGTAACCTTTGGAGTGCTGACTGAGCAGGCACCTGCTGACAGCTGATAAGAGACAGGCAATGACAAATTCACTAAAAAGTGAAGAGTGAAGTGGGCTCTGTTTCCACATTTTGTGTGTGTGAGAGAGAGAGAGAGAGAGAGAGAGAGAGAGAGAGAGAGAGAGAGAGAGAGAGAGAGAGAGAGAGAGAGAGAGAGAGAGAGAGAGAGAGAGAGAGAGAGAGAGAGAGAGAGAGAGAGAGAGAGAGAGAGAGAGATTCTATACATTTTCACAAATACAAAACTTAAATAAAAACGGATTCTGGTAGAAGGCAAAAGGTTTTATTGGTTGAGTTACAACTGTAATTTGGTGCGGTGCTTCTCATTAACTATACATGAACAATGTCATTAGTATACAATTACTTATATAAATCACCATATTGTGCTGCAGGAAGTGCAGTGTGTACTGAAAGTATCCTGGTGTTGTTTATGGGTTAACCGGCTGCACACTGTCTCATCACATCAGGCTTTTAAGGGAAGAAAATAGATGTAAGCAACATAGAGGCTCGAGCTGCTAACATATCTCTTCTTGGTGTAAACATTTTATCTCAAGATCTTTTCTAGTCTTTTACCACTCAGTTGGACACGGATGTAACACAAGCATGCTTTTGCTTTCTACAGTATATGAGCAGTGAGATAAGGAAGCAGATAAAATAGCAGTTGGTCATGCACGCTTATCGTTTATTTAATTATATATTAACAGCTTATTTCAGCATATTTTCTTGATTACTTAATGAATCATTTGTGACTCACATTGTATGAATATAGTGGGAAAAAGACCTTCTATTTGCAATTTATCTCCTCATATCCAAGGTAGTGCCTTTAAATGTTTTGTTTTCAACTAAAGTGGAAAGATACTCAATTTATTATAATACCAAACTGAACCAACAGCAAATATTAACATTTGTGGGCTTTTGTTGGTCGTTATTGTTTTGACTTTAAGATATAGTTATTTATTTATCATTGACTGCTCTTTTTAATCTCTATGGATCCAACATGTTTACTGACATTTTAACTAATGTTGAATTTAGTTTTAACATTCAGTTGTTCATCCACTCAGTGAAAAGTTATTAGTGAAAAAACAAGGGCCTTGAAGTTGGCAGCACTAAATTACTATCCCAAATAAAGTCTTGATGAAGCAGAAGAGAACAAGCTGCTTCTTATTCACAACCACACTCATTTTATTTTCTTCTTTCCAAACCACAACATTTGAATTCAATATCTGCTGTCAGATTTTGTTTCAGTTTGACCACACCCTGACTGATGTACACAAATAAGACTTCAGAGGAGAAGCGTAAATATATCTGTCATCTGTCTGAATAAATCAGAGCTCTCGGCGCTTGAAGGAGAGCCAGAACATTCAACTAGTTTAACCCTTCTCTGGCCTCGAACCACTCGCTGATCAGTCATGTCGCTGTATTCCCAATGGGTGGTAGCTAAAAGACTGAATTGCAATACCACCATCAAGGAACTCTTTGCTCTTTGACAGTTTTTTTCCTCTAATCTGTAGAACTACTTTTGATTGACAGGTTAATAAAATATTTTGGTTTATCTTCCTCCTCGACAGGTTGAGCTTCATGTGCACCTCGATGGAGCCATCCGGGTGAAGACCATTCTCGATGTTGCCAAGTGAGTTATTAAGAAAATATAATTGTTCCTTTATGAAGTTTGAAATGCTACTCCACCCGTTTGGTTGAATACAGTATTTATAGATATTAATAATGGATAAGGTAACTATAGAGCACCAGCTTATAGACATACTAGCATTTTAGAGATATAATGCTCGAGCCAATAAGCAATAGGAAATTAAAACTGCAAGTGCCCATAAAAGCCAAATTGATGAGCTAAAAGATGCTAAAGTGGTAAAGGGATAATACAGGATACATTGGGTCAAGATTCTCTGTGTGTAAAACATATTTGTTTGAGCAGCTTTAACTACAAAAGCTTCAAAACATCACACAACAGCAACCCACTGTTCAACTTTAAAGGGGCCCTTTTATGCTCTTATGGGGTTTTCCCTTTTCTTGTAGTGTGTAAACTAACTAAAGGTTTTTGTGCATGTAAATGGTGCGACTGCCTGAAACACCTCCATTTGTTTACTTCCTTTGTTTACTTCCTGAACATAGTGACGTCACTACGTAACACATGCGCTCCTATTGGCTAGCGCTCCGACACATTGAATATGATAAGCTAAGGGGCGGAACATCTCTAAGTGGTTGACCAATCACAACAGAGCTAACTAAACAACCAGCTAATCAATCGGAGCAGACAGGGCTCTGGTTTCAGACAGAGGGTGAAAAGAAGTGCTGCAGCACAGGCAAATAAAGAGCTTTTTGAACATTAAAGCATGGAGACATGTCACAGTTGAGGTACCAAATACTAATATGAACCTGAAAATGAAAATGATAAAAATAGGGCCCCTTTAAGAGTTTGTCGATTTTGGGATACATTTAAAATAAGTACACCTTTAAATGTAAAAACTGTCCCTGAACTGTTTCATTTTCCCCCTCACTTTTCTCCAGGAGACGCGGCATTCATCTGCCAGCAAACACCGAGGAGGAGATGACGCAGATTATTATCCTTGAAGAGCCGGCCACCCTCACGGAGTTCCTGGGGAAGTTTGCAACGTACATGCACGTGGTTGCGTAAGTGCTGACATGTTTCATTCAATGACTCAGTGTAATAGGTTTAATTATTCCCAAAGGTGTTTTCTTGCTGAACAGGTGACAGGGAGTGCAAAGAGCCAGATTGGAAGTGATTAAGAGTCAGGGTTCACCTTGTTAGTGTTGCAGGAATGTTTCTCCATCACCTGTATGAGGGTAAATGTCCAGGCAGCTAGCAACACACATGCACAGTTATATTATCTGAGTTAAGATGCATTTGAAGGGTTAAAAGCGGAGTGTGTAGTTTGTGATTGATGATGGGGGAGTGGATTTTAAATGCCAGACATGCGGAAAAGGAACACATAATTATCGAGATCAAGTGACACCCTGGCAACCAAACTAAGAGGAGAGTAGAGTCTTTCCGGAGTCTTATATTTAGTCCTCCAGTGACAGGGCTGCTGAACTGTTAAGAAAATACCAAATAAAGACACAAATAAAGCGACCAACATTGACGGTCTGTAGAGGCCGGGCTGCAGCGCGCAGTTCTGCTGAATGGCCCCTCTTGTATCGAGGCTCTTGAAAGCCCTGTGTCCAACAACATAGGGAACATGCTAGCTGAGTTTAGCGCATGCAGAATTGTTGTATAAGCTCAGTGGCTGATGTGTGTGCAGGGGGTTAATGAGAGGATGCTGGAGAACAACATGCATTCAGACCTGTGTGAATGCTGGAAGCTGTGTTGTACGTCATGTGATGTGGGAAAGGAAAGGGTGAAATGGAGCTGTGTTTTTTCTATTATTGTCACAACACTAAAGTGTATTGTCATCTGGCACAATCATGCCGGCAAGACAAACAAAAAATATTGCAGCTGAAAAATTTGAAAATTACAAGGTTGAGGTTTGAATGAAAATGTTTGTGGCGAGGAAGGGCGCCTGCAAAAAACACCATGTCTTTTTTAAAAAAAAATTGCACAGCTCTCCACTTTTAATTATATTATTTATTTATTTATCTTTTATCTGATATAATAGTCATCAAAATTGTTATATAATTGCTCTATTTTCCTCCTTTTACTACAACTTTTCCCTTTTTCTTTGTCTATTTATGCACCATTTAAACCATAGTAAGTGCCTCGTATGTGTAAGCCTACTTGGCAATGAACCCAATTCTGATCCTGATGTTGTTCAAATATTTTCTGGTTAGTTTCCTGATCGAGCAATGAATGAACCAATCGTTGCAGCTCTTACAAACATTCTTGCAAATGCATCAATTAGTATAAACGGTTGGCAAGGCTAACTTTATATGACACATTTTACTTTGCTGTGTTGTAATGGCCAATCAATCCTTAATGACCTGTGGCACGAACTAATGCTGCCTTTCTAATGCAATTTGAAGTATTTGTCAGAAGGGAAGCTGAATACATTTAATAAATCCTACTCTTCTAAAAGTCACACTAACCTCCATTTAGCAAAAACAATTCCCCAATCAGTTACATACAGTATTTCACTTTTCCCCGCTACCTCTTTAAATCCTTAAGTGTATGTGGAAAATAGTTTTAAATTAGTCCCATGAAACAGTATAAGCCTATTAGTGAGTCATAACTATTTGAAAGATGGTGCACATTTTTATGGTATTTAAATGAAATTAATGCTATGATATCAGTGACTGTTAATTATTATACTGCTAGATTTAAAAGCTATCATAGTTAAAAGGTCACATGTCATGCTTTTCCGGTTATTACCCGTCCCCTTGTGTGTTATGAAGGTTTTTCTGCATGTAAACGGTCTGCAGAGTCACAAACCCTCAAAGTACACCCTGTAGCAAGTAAAACTCTAACACAGAAAAGACCTGTCTATGCTGCCCCAAAACGCCTCGTTGGAGATTTTTATTTTTCCATTGTTTTCTTCCTGGGTACAGTGACGTGCCCTTACCCAAATGGACCCATTGGTCCAAATGGACCAATCCGTGGAGCTCCTCACACACACACACTCTTTTAGCGGTGAAAATCTGACACGCTGGGGGTGGGGTGCTAGTGGAGCCTCGCAGCACGGCAAAACTGTGGCGCGCTTACACTGTAGGTGTTTGGGGGGGGTGGGGATGCGGGTGCTAGTGGAGACTCGCAGATGGGGCTGCTGCAGCCCCCTCAGCACAGATAATCAGAGCCAAAGTTCAATGTCATTAATATTTTTGTTTTTTTGTTTTTTCCAGTGGAGACAGAGAGGCCATAAAGAGGATAGCCTATGAGTTTGTTGAAGACAAAGCCAAGGAGGGAGTGATTTATGTGGAGGTCAGATACAGCCCACATTTTCTGGCTAACACAAAAGTGGTTCCCATACCATGGGACCAGGAAGAGTAAGTCATTTCTGTAGTTTTTAATTGTTTTAGGCAGGGATATATTAAGCTTAACTCATTGCGTGTTTTTCAGAATCAGATCCTCTATTAGTTACACAGAGGGGAAATGTACATTGTTACAGCAAAAGTAAAGTGGCAAAATGTTAAATAAGAGATATGCATAAAGTATTGAAGATAAAAATTACACAAATTACAATTTACAAAAGTACACATCCAGGTGGACCACTATAAGTACAGTAACAGTATTTAAAGTGTAGCAAGTGTGATAGCATCCAGATAACAGTAGCACAAATAAAACTATATATTGCACAGTTATAACAGATTGTTTTACAGTAGTTGAATTGTCTAACTATGAGATAGCAGCCTGTACAAATAAATTATAAAGCAGTATTTATATGTATATTGCACATAAATCACAGTCATTGTTTCCTCCACTCAGAGGGGACCTGAGCCCGGACGAGGTGGTGCACCTGGTCAACGAGGGCCTCAGTGACGGGGAGCTGGCCTTCAATATCAAAGCCAGGTCCATTCTATGCTGCATGCGCCACATGCCAAGTAATGAACTGTTACCTGTCTGCCCAAACATCTTTGTGAGATAAGGCTCCTAATGTACTGTCTTCTGCGCTGTCTCTAAGCTGTTGTTATTAGATAATGAGCAAGAGCAACACAGAAAGACAGAAAAAGCAATATGCTCAAAATGACAATGCTTACATGTGGATTTGAAGCTGGTTTAATTTACATGTTTACTAACTAAGTTTAGCGTGTTAGCATTCTAGCACTTGCTAATTAGCGTTAACAAAAAATACAGAAGGTAATTTTATTACTATTGTGGGTATTTGGTTGAAAATGAAATTTTGCCTTGATAGTGGCGCAAGATGAAATGTCGGGCGATCACCAAGTTTTTAGGATATATCCTCTGGGGACTATGAATGTCTCTACTATGTATCATAGCAGTCCATTCAATAGTTCTTAACATATTTATGTTAAAGAAAAGAAAATGGTTGGTGGCATTAGAGAATAAATCAGGTGTCAAAATTCATAAGTATTCATCCTCGGGGGATATGTAATGTTGAAGCAATTTTTTGACAACCAATAGTTGTTGATATATTTAAATCTGGACTAAAATTGTGAACCAAAGATCAAAAGACTGAAAATGCCAACCCTAGCTAATGAGAAGTCAATGTTCTGCAGATTACATAGGACAGTGCATATACAGTATTAGTACTTTAAGTGGTTGCTAATAGTGTTGGTCCAACATGACAACAGCAGTGCCAAAATACTTTCTGCAGTCTTTAAGCTGCACAAGTTAAAGTAACTGTTGTAACACAAGAAGGGGCTGTAGTCACAAATCTGTTGCAAATCAGAATCTGGTTAGTTGCCAAATAGGTTTTCACATATAAGGAATTTATTTTGGGTATTGGTTCATAGCATGGACCTAATTGGAGAAACATTTAACTAAATAATGAAAGCAAGTTATATACAAATCAAGTAACATGGAAGATTACAGTAAAAATATTTAAAATATGTGTATACAAATGTGCTCTGCTCCATTTATGCAGCTGTTTCCTGTGTAGCCCAGCAGCCAAGTGCAGTTAATATCTGCCATTCTGGTTTTCACATTACAGCTCTTGCAAAAACATGTTGTAATATTATCCCACAGTGACCGATTACATCTTTATGTAACAGACTTCCTGAACGTATTGAGGATATCTGATTTTGGTATTATACTGCTGATGAGAAGTGCTATTTTAGGATGATTGTTTAAGCTATAGCATTAATATATGGAGCCAAGTAGGTGCTAAAGCAGTAGGCTATCTTTTATATAAACTAATCTAGATTAAGTGTATATGGTGATCTTTGATGTATGAAAAGTTTTGGTTTTGTAAAAGTAGGTTATGTTTCATACATGTAATCAAAGCCAAGATGTGAGAGGAGAAAATAAAGGAATATTTATGCTAAATTACTTTTCTGCCTAGAGTTAAATGAGAACACTGATACAAATCTCATGTCTGTTAGGTACCAGCTAGCTTAGCTTAGCAGGAACGACTAGAACAAGTAGGAAGTAGCTAGCTTGGCCCTGTTACAAATTGCAAAGTCAGCCTAAATTAAGCTAAACTAAGCTAAGCTAGCTGGCGGTAGTTTCATATTTACCATATAGACATGAGAGTGCTATCAAATTTCTCATCTAACTCTTGGAAACAAAGCTAAAAAGCACACTACCCAAAATGTCTGCTATTCCTTTTAGACAAACACAGCTACTTCCACATGTCTTGTGCTTGTCATAGATGTAGATTGATGCAAATGGATGAAGCATGATGTTTTGACTATCATCACATTTAATAATTTGCATGTTTTTTAGTTGACAGGACTTTACTGATTAGTAATATGTGTGTGTTTTAAATTCTCCAGGCTGGTCCATGGACATTGTGGAGCTGTGTAAGAAATATCAGCACGAAGGAGTGGTTGCCATTGATCTGGCAGGTGACGAGTCCCTAAACTGTGAAGGCAATCCAGAGCACAGGAAGGCCTACGAGGTGAGCGTGTGAACACATCAACATAATACTAAAAGACAGTTTTACGCATGAGGGAGTTTAAATATGTTTTTGTTTCATTCTTTGGTGTGTCTGGTATAAGTCATAGCCTAATAAGTCAAACACAATAACTTAGCAACAACAGCAACAATAGAGCTGACAACAACTGCTGCATCAACAAGAGCTGAGTGTTTTGTGCTTGTATGTGTTATGTGTGTATATGCATCATTTCTACTGATAGTATATTGCACTATTATGAGGTTGTAAAAACCTTTTAAAGTCCACCTCATGTTCCCACAGGCTGCATGCTATCGGAAATATGATTGAGTTGTATTGCTCCAACAACTTTCAGGAATCCTAAGGCAATTTTGTAAAGGTGTGTTTTGTGGCTACAGAGAGGACGGGTTTCGCTTTCGGAGAGTCAAGACTGAAATCTATGACCACTATTGCTTGCCCTTTAATCTTGGCTAAAGTGTAGGTTAGCATGTTAGCTCAAATGTTAGCCTCATTAAGTCACCACATTACCTTGGCTGTAGACGCCATCAACTATCAACTATTAATGTGCTGATACCATTTCTCAGACTTTTTTTTTGTCAAAGCACTTAAGATATTCATTGCTATCGGGATGTTAAGAGCATTCCATGGAATATAACAAAAAGTGTATCTCGAGCCGGTTTCTCAAACTTACCTACCCCATCTTTAAAGCTGACACACAGTTTTACTTCTCTACCTTTAACTGTCTCAAACCAATGAGGCCTTAAATGTCTTTATCTGTAACCAACACAGAGCTGAAGTAAAACCTAATACTCTTAAACTATTTCCTCTTAAGCACCGACTGCTCTCAGGAAAAATCCAATTTAGTTTTCAGCCAGCATTTATTGATTAATTCAGAGAGTACCTCAGTAGTAAATCAATTTGGCCTGTCAGACTATAATGAATGCAGTAGATTAATCACTTAATACACTACAGCGCACGACGTGACCTGAAATGAAATGTATGGAAAAAGGATAGGTGATGTCAACACAGAGACAGTTTGTATTATTTCAGCCATTACCGTATACATGATATAAGTGGAGGAAGTGTCCTATAGACATCTTGGCGGTACTGGTGATTAGCTTTGGTATTCTGTTATTACAAGTTTCGTTATGTGTGTAGTGCGTTGACGTAATAGTGTAGAGGGGAAAAGATGGACAGTAAAAACTGAATGAATTCTTGACTTATGAGTCCTTTGCCTCCAAGTGACTCATACTTGAGATAGAAAACCAACCAGGATTTATTAATGGGTGTCTTTCAATAGAGTGTGTAGGTATGAAGTTGTGCATTCATAAGGATTTTTTTATACTCTTGCAACCTGTCAAACGTCATTTGCGTCAATTAATTGGTCAAATATGAACAAAATGACAATAAAATCAAATTAATGGAGTTGAGAGATTGTAACTGCAGATGTTGCTGACATTCTGTTGATTAGCTCTTTATCAATCAAGAGCAATAATGCCATAAAACCATTTAAGGCACGTGATCACACTAAATTAAATATGCAAAATCAGTATTGTTTTAAATTGTTTCTGATTGTTTTAATTGAAATACTTTTTATAACTTTATTGAATTCTGGTTACTTTGTCCGCATATGTGTTTTTACGAATGTATAGTGACTGGAATATGTGTGTGAAGTGCAATTCATGTGTGTTTGTTTGTATGATTCATTAAATAATTTAGTGTTTACTTTTCTTATGTTTAATGAATAAATCATGTTATTTTGTAGGTTCCTTTTTAAGTACTGGGTTATATCTGGTGTGGATAAGTGCGTCATAATTACATAATGCGTTTACTTTCCAACTATATTATACATATTGTGCAATTCTCCAGAAATGTGTTTTCACTATGTGAAGTTTAGTGAGGTTTTGAAATCCTGTCAAGCAGCATCGATTAATGGAAGAGAAAATAAACAAGCTTCAATAATTAACAAGAAGCAGAACTCAACGAGCAGAGTCCACACACTAATATTGAAAGTTATCTTCATAACTACATGACCTCAAGATATCTGCAGATTCGCAACACACAGTGTGTCAAAGGTTAAGAACGCAAAGATGAAAACATCTTCATGCACAAACCAGAGGGCTCGTTGTGCAACATCTTTTTTCACAATGAAACAAATTAAGTTAGCACAACAATGTAATGTGATGCTGGAGTACTGCAGATGTGAAACCCAGATGTTTTGTTGCTGACGTATTTCACGATTGATTTTGTTGACAGGAAGCAGTGCGCTGTGGGATCCACAGAACGGTCCACGCAGGAGAGGTGGGCCCGCCGTCTGTGGTGAAGGAGGTGAGCGAGCAACAATAACACGAGACATTACTGAACTCCATATCTAATGAGAACTTAAGTGTCTCAGCAACTTAGCAAAACAATGAAATCATGCACACAATGGAAATCAGTTAAGCGGCTATTGGAGGCAGGGATCCAAAAGAAACAAGAAGCTGGTCAGTTGAAGATTTAGTGTGTCTGGAAAATGCATTGCACTGGTCACCAATTACAATTAAAATGTGAATGCATGAGTGTGGAAGCTGCTGTGTCTCGGCCTCCTTAGTGTAAAACTACAGTATGTCTCACTCCCATAATAAGTAGCCACTTTCTAAGAAAGCCATTCGACAGGTCAGATGTGCCACAGCAGTTGCTTCTAGAAATAGCCTGCAGATTCTGCTGACATTAACAAGATGGAGGGATTTCTTTCTTTGTGGATCATAACCTTTTGCCTCCTAACCCCTGTCCTGACATTTTTAGGCTGTAGAAGTGCTGAAAGCTGAACGCGTTGGACACGGTTACAGAACCCTGGAAGACCAAGTTTTGTACAAGAACCTGCTGGCTCAGAACATGCACTTCGAGGTGAGGAAATGTCCAGAATAAATACAGTTTTCATCACATCTGTATTACCAACAATGTTGTTAATAATTGCAAAAATGAGCCTGTTATTGCCCTGTCTATCGTTAACCGTGGATCATTTGTATCATTATCAGAAGATTTTTTTTATCATGTACTTACAACTATATACTGGTATGGAAAACAGTGATATACTGACCTCTAGTGGAACCTCCACTGTCATAGCTGACGGAAAAACAACAGCAGCAAATGTATGGAAATGCAAATGATTATTAGAATCTTCCAATAGTCACATGCATGTACACACCAGGGCAAACACAGTGAAAATTAGACTCTACTTTAATCCCACTTAGTATTAAGTGGCAGCTATTATATACACAACACCTGGGGAGCATTGAAGGGTTTGCTGGCGGTGCCCAGGAGGTGAACTGATTATCTCAAAGTACAAGCCGAGTCTCCGTTATTGGTCCTTTGCGGGACTTGAATCGGCGACCCTCTGCTTTCCAAAGCAAGTCCCTACAGACTGAGCCCCGTTATGTTACTCAGTGCTTCCTGTGCTGCTCCCATTGCAGGTGTGTCCTATTTCCAGTAAGCTGACAGGTGCCTGCGACCCAGACTTCACCAAGCATCCTGCCATCACGTGAGCTGTCTTTATTTTAAATGGCAGTCTGGTAAATATATCTTGCATTAAAGCAGTATTTAATTTAATTGGATGTAATGGTTTCCTTTCTTCAGGTTCAGGAAGGACAAAGCTAATTACTCTTTGAATACAGATGACCCTCTGATCTTTAACTCAAGCCTGCACCTCGACTACAGCACCGCGGACAAATACATGGGATTCACCGAGGAGGAATTCAAACGACTGGTGAGATCAAATGCATGAATAATTACCGCAGGATGAAGGCATTTGAATATGGGTTGAAATGATAGCATGGGGTGTAGACGTCCTCTGAATGCTAATGCCTTTCTCTGTTGCTAATTAACACAGGAACGAAAGAAGTGTTCCAAAGCCTCAGATTAATAATTTAATATCAATGTATTTTGAAGAATTGTGCTTCACATCCAGACTCCCTTAGGTTTGCCTATGGATTGACGCTGAAATGACATATTAGAAAACACTCCAATTTCATTTCCTGCCAAGAATTAGATGAACAGTTTGATACCACTCATATACAGTATGAAGTACAGATATGAATCTACAGCAAGAGGAGGGTTAGTGAACAGAGGAGGAAACAGCTATCCCATCCCTGTCCAAATGTAATGAAATCTGCCCACCTTTACTATAACATTATAATCTGGTTTTATGTATTGAAACTGTAAAATGTGGTTTATAGGTGGGTAATATGTCGATTAGCAGGCCTACGAGTCAAACTATGATTCTCTAAGTACCCCTCTCGTTTTGGTTTTATCACATTTAGGGCAGCATCTAGAAGCCATAGAAATTATAACTGGAATAAAAGAGGAAGTCTGGTGAAAAGTAGAGTCCACAGAGGATGGAAAAAACAGAGGACTTTCAACCAGGAGGCCCTTGTTTGTGTACATAACTAAACCAATTTACCTTTAAGAAACAAATGTATGTCATTTGGTATCCTACTTAACTTACATATGTAACTTTAGTTGAGTATGCTAACAAACATACTTATTTTAACTCAAACGTTCTTTTTCTAAATCTAGCCAAGAAGTTCTGAATAAATTCACAGTCAGTCATCAGACTACCCTGCACATTCAAAAGAAACAGCAGGAGGTCCTCACCAAGTGTTCATATGCTGAGAGTTGAGAGAGAGTGTGTTGAATTGTAATCACTTTGTTCAGCCTATACATCGCTACCTTTAAGAAACAAATTTACGTCATTTGGTATCCTACTTAACTTCCATATGTAACTTTAGTCGAGTATGCTAACAAACATACTTATTTTAACTCAAACGTTCTTTTTCTAAATCTAGCCAAGAAGTTCTGAATAAATTCACAGTCAGTCATCAGACTACCCTGCACATTCAAAAGAAACAGCAGGAGGTCCTCACCAAGTGTTCATATGCTGAGAGTTGAGAGAGAGTGTGTTGAATTGTAATCACTTTGTTCAGCCTATACATCGTCTCTGTGTAGTCCCTTTTCCTTTGTCCCTAAGAAAAGTGATTGCATCTTACTTAAAAAGGGACTTTTCCAAGTTGGAAGTCCTGCATTTGGATGTTTGGTTTGGTTCATTACAAAATTAGCCTGTACAAGCTTAGTTTACAAGGTTTAACAGCTATTACATCGTGGTGTTTTCTGTGAATTTTAGGAAGGGAGTAACACACTGCGAGTCATAGCAGATTCGTATTTGCTGTTTGGATGTACTGAATGCCTCTTGTTGGCAGATTTAGTTATCGTTGTACTACAGGTTTAGATTTGGCTGGCTAAGCTAAATGGCTACAGGCACAGAGATGAGAGTGACATCAAATCATAGCAGCACACAAAATGTTAACCTATTTGCCTCCTTGTGTGTTGTAGAACATCAATTCTGCCGAGTCGAGCTTCCTGCCTGAGGAGGAGAAGAAGGATCTCGTCCAGAGACTGCACGAGGCCTACGGGACGATAAAGTCGACCGCCTTTTAAAAATCTGAAGAAGGAGGAAGGAGGAAACGTGACCTAACCCAGGGACAAATCGCTCTGAACCCTTTATCTCCTGACCTGACACCATGGGATGTCCTCATTTGTAACCTACCTAATATCTCAAAAATGCTCTATATCATATGCCTTCACATCACATATTTGTTCATCACCAGCTTGTGTTTTGTCAGTATCCTACCATCAAAGTACTTATATATACCTTTTTATACTTTAGTTTACATGACACTTTCCACAGGATGTCATGGTGCTCTGCAAAGTTAAGAATAATACGGGTGCTTTGTGTTTTTAAAGCCAATTTTGTTTATATGAAAGCATTTTTCATCTTGTGTTTACAACCTGTTGTTATAAAGAGAATCAGGGAAGCTTTTTAATGCACAACTACTTAAGTTTTTAACATTTTGTCAGCACGTAAGTGAGGGATAAGGTTGGTAATTTGACGTTAAAGGAGGATAATAGAGGAATGTAATACTTATGATTTACTGTGAATATCCATTGTTTGGTTAAAGGGAGAAGTGAGGAAATCCAGTGTCAGAAACCTGTCATTTTTGCCCTTCACACCATAAACAGCTCAATACCAAAAGTGAAGTCTTACATTTGAACACTAGGGGGCGCACTACGGTCACCTAGCTGGACAAACCAGTGTCTTAATGTGGTTTAGCATATCATAATTACTCAATTATTTTTGATGTATATGCTTATCTAAAATATCTCTTTTTCATTTCACTTATTAAAAAAAGCACTTATATTTTTAAAACACATGTATGACATGTATGGAAAGCATATTTGAATATAATAAACAAGGTTTTAAGATGTTCCTGCATGTCTGTCTGTTTGTTTATTAAAACATATTTTTAGGTCAGTCCTATATAAGTTTCTTCACTATAAAAAAAAGTCACTACAGAGGTTTTTAAGTGATTACCACGATTAAGAGAGTTAGCTCAAGCCTGACACTAAGAGATATTGTAAAATAAAACAGATCTTTATCTTTACAGCTCCTTCAACCTCTGCTCTTCATATACAAAGAGATTAATGGGAGCATTGGGACCATGCTAGTCCGAAATATGTAAACACTTCCTGTCTGCGACTGGGCTCGTGTACACGAAGGCTGCATACAATAATATTTATGGCTCTGGAACGGATCATTCTAACGCTAGGGTGCGAAATATGGTCACCTAGCTGTACAAACCACAGTGTCTTAATGTGGTGTAGCAGCATATGGAGGCGTGTGGCGCCGTGGGTTAGTGCGCTGATCTTCGAATCAGGGGATAGCAAGTTCGAGTCCCACTGCAGTCAGCATGTCGTTGTGTCCCTGAGACACTTCACGCCAAATTGCTCCTGTGGGGATTGTCCACAGTACTGAGTATGTAAGTCGCTTTGGATAAAAGCGTCTAACATGTGATGTAATATCCTAATTACTCAGTTATTCTAATGTATATATTTATTTAAAATATCTCTTTTTAAAATGTCACATATACAAAATAACTTTAATGTATGACTCACACTTATGGAAAGCATTTTTGAATATAATAAATAGGTGTTGAGGTCTCCGTCTTTTTTATGCTGATAATATACAGTTACTACAAATATCAGTCATTCGAATTTCATACTAAAAAACTAACTTTATTATTTGCCCCTTTTGTTTGTTCACCATGTAAAGCGGCCTTGGGTCCCTTGAAAGGCGCTATACAAATGTCATCTATTCTTCTTATTATTATGCTATGAGATAATGCAATAAAAACAGATCTTTATCCCTACAGCTCTTAAATCCTCTGTTTCTCTACGTATAAAAGGAGATAAATGGGAACACTGGGACCATGCTAGGTGGAAACGTAAACACTGCCTTCCTGCGGCCATGCTAATGTCCACAAAAGCTGCATTCAATAATATTTATGGCTTTGGAACGACTCAGCAAAGTGAACTCATTAATCCCGTTGGACTGCGCCTTTGCAGCTCTCAGACCTGCAGCGTCCCACACGGCTTCGAGGGGGAAAGCTACTCACGCTTGAAAGCATAAAACACAAAATGTTACAGTAATTCATAAGTATTTTATTACACAAAGAAAATTGCTATCACAAAGTTATCACTGAACATTAAGCAATAAATATGAAGTCTGTACATGACAGTATAATGGCGACTATGTTTCGTTACTCAGAAAAAGAAAGGGACTTGCGATGTAATTGAACAAGAGGGTCACAAACACACACGCATACATAGAAAGAAAAAGACAAACGGATGATTATGATTATCCATGACTCAGTTCCATACCGGGCTGGAACAACGCTTTTTTAATATTTTTTTATAAATGGATTCTGGTCAGCAACTCCACAGAGATAAATCCAAAGTTTCTGTGCTTTCTCGTCTCCTCCCCCGGGAATATAAATGACCAGCAGAGAATGAAGCAAAAGAGCAGCATCTCAATAGTCAGCTCTTTTTCTGCTCTGCTCCGCGTGTTACAATCGGATCCAATGAAAAGGCGAACATTTGGGGCCGCTGGAGCTCCAAACAGGCTGGCAGTGAGCGAAGGTGTCCTCGTCTCCACACAGGACAACCAATATACACTCTTTCTTTTCTTTTCTCTCCCCACTTTCACTCGCTTCCTTCTTTACTTTTCAATTCCTTGGCTCTGCCGCCCTTTTGGTCTCTGGCTGAATTTAGGACGGGCCTCCCCCTCCCTGGGCGTCTTGGCTGGTGGAGCCCTCGGCCTCAGGGGCTGGGGAGGCCCCCGGGTCGCCTCCTGGAGGAAACAATATGCAACAAAACATCCATCAAATGTTGTAGATAATATTGAACTCAAGAGTGGTTTCGCATCGTTTGTACAGCCTGTAATAAATCTGCTCCCAAGAGGAAAGAATAATGAGAACTTCCTGTAGCTAAGTGTCAAGATTCAAGGTTCAAAAGCTTTATTGTCAAATGCACAGCAGCTACAGTCTAGAGATGGCAATGTAAAATCTTAAATCCCGGGCTCCTCCAACAATGCAACATATAAAACAATAAAATAGTTAGACCGTGTGCAAGTAATGCAGATGAAGTCAACTTTATACATGTCAAAAATAAATACAATAAGCTAAATGTTGCAGAGAATGTTGTAAGTGACCAAGTCAATGCATGCATGATATTTCCAAATGTGAGGTTTCCCCACAAGAGTGATGTAAGATTGGGTAACATGTCAACATGTCTTTGACTGAAAAAGGAAGTAAGCAAGAACAAGGTGGTAACACACACAATGGTCAGAGAGGCAACATCTGCGTCACCTTCAGACATGTTCCTGTGAACAGCTTGACACGCTGCTGAGATCAGAGGAAGAATCTGTCATTGTGCTGCCGCTACGACTCATTTATCTCTGAGGCAACAACAGCCAGATCTCACTGAGTCTACCAGCTGAGCAGCGCCACCTGTTTGGATGTTTTGCAGCTTTGAGACACAGACAAAGCCGTCTGTTGAAGGACACGTTTGACATGAACTCTGGGTAACCTTTTGACAAACTTCAAAACATGGCAAACAACTCAGCTTAATTTGCTCCAGATGGTTCCTGGAAGATTTTAACAATTTGTGAGGACGTTTTATTGGAAAACTCAGTACCAGTAACACAGTGCAGACTTTAGGCAAAGGACAACGACAAAGTCCTTCTTTATACATATATACGTTTATATTTCCAACGAGTTACGGTAGCCTCTACACACCTTTTCCTTTTTCTCATAATAAATCCAATACATTGTTAGCGAATAATCAGCCAGGTTTTACTCCTTTTTTGTCATTTGGTGCCACTGGTCAGCAGCTGTTAGACCTTGTTTAGACACCTTTTAGGTCATTTCTTATAGTTTGTGGTCATAAAGGTTCGAAATGCAGCTTTTTTGTCATTACGCGATACAGGACTGCATAAGGAAATGCTGTCGTAGCCTTTTCAACTCTACACACACAGATATTTTAATATTTAAATTGAAATGTTATAAAATGATCAGTTTCCCTTTACACCTGATCAATCATCTCTTCCTGTCAGACCATGACTTGTCTGACTGGTCTTAAATTACTTTTACAGCAACTAAAATATAGGCCATATACTCAATCTAAAAGCTAAATGAAGACCTTAGCTCTAGATACAAGTGTTTTGTGAACCCAGCACCAGGTCCTTGGTATGCATATATACACACATTACCTCTGCTTTCACACTGTGTGTTCATGTGTGTGTTGACTGACCTGCAGCCTTGAGGTCCATCCCTGCCAGGTCTTTGGTGAGTTCACTAGTGCTGGCCGCTCCTTTTCCCTTCCCTTCAATGTCGGGCACTGCGTTCCTGCGGCCTGTGCGATCACAGTTGATGAAGTCTGAGTACGACGTCTCCACGTCCATCATCTGTCCATGACCAGCGCTCTCATTACACCTGCCAAGAGGGAGGAGGGGGGGGATGTCAAGTGGCTGCGGAGGTGTAGCACATAAATCACCTCGCTGTCTCCCTTCAATAGTCTGCAGGACCCGTGGGAGGACGTATCACTGTGTCTGGTGAATTTCTACTTCAGCAGAATCAATCACAAAGTGCTTTTTAAAAAGGTTGACCAGTGCAGAGTGAGAACAAGGCAGAACATGAGCAATTGAGCAGCAGGGGGAATACAAAAAAGGTGTTAACTCCTATTTCTGCACAGATTAATAGCACTCCACTAATAGAATGTCCTAATTACATCAGGAAAAACAAAAAAGCTGCATTGAATCTCTAACTCAGGCTCTCACTTGCCTAGTCATACCTCTCAACCGGAGTCCATTTGTCTGTCTAAAAGGTACTTACACAGCAAAGGGTTTAGACAAAAGAGAGAGCACTGATCAATATGGAGAGAAAGAGCTGGAAACCATTAAAAAGGACCAGCAGAGGTGTGGCCAGAAAGTGCCCCAGCTAAAAAGTAAGTAGAGCTCCGAATCCGCCATTCATTCCTCTTCTGTTTCCTGTTCTCAGTCCATATTTAACTGGGTCACGGATCCTGCCAACCACTACAACACTATACAGCTGGAAACTCCTCAGAGAGAACAGGACAAAAAAATAACACTGCCCCAGAAAAAAAAAGAAAAGGAGTAGTTTGATGTAGTATAGAAGTTGTCCTCTAATAAACAAGTTGTCACAGCTGTTCTTCTCCTGCAGCTTTAGTCTGTGAACATCCCCCATGGGCCTGCACACATTGTAGAGATCCCACGGCTCTGCATGGGCAGCATAACTGACTACATTACAGCGAGCCTGTAATAAAGCATGTAACACGACAGCTGAGCGGCTGAGCTACGGATCTCTCAGAAACACGAGGGGGGGGAGTCTCGAAGGGAAACAAGAGAAAGAGTGAGGGAGGAATAAAAACGAGCTGGCAGACCCTGGAGGCAACACGCTGACCCGGGGCCAGTTTGTTCCCAGAAGCTTTCACTTTCACCAAAAAAAAAGCTCCCACAATTGTTTTCTGTCTCCTATGTACAGTAAGCGAGCGCCATGCCAAACAGGAAGCAACCCAGGGTCGTTCCCTCAGAGGTCACGAGCCACTCAGGGAAAAGGGAGATGCTGCCTGGGAATTTGAAATTGTGCACAGAAGGGTAAACTTTAAGCCCCTGTAGATAAGAGTGGTACCTCAGGAAATGTCACTGTGTTCTGGCATTTCCCTGAGAGCGTCTACTTTACACAATAAGGCGCTCTGTGTTCCCGGCTGCAGACGGTGGTGAGATCCTCTCAGAGATGGTCTTCGAGATAGCCTCGCTGCACATTCATTAGCGAGCCAGATCACCGCGGGAGGCCGGCGTCTTATAATTACATCTGCAGGACTACCTTTCCCTCAACCTTTAGTTCAGACA